TTTGCCATTTTTAAGCACACAGTTCAGCAGTGGGGAGTTCTATGCTGTACTCAGTCTCTTCAGTCGTGTCTGACTCTTTTCGACCCCATGGAATGTAGCCCACCAGGCTCCTCTGTCCAGGGGATTTTCCAGGCAAGAATACTGGAGAGGGTTGCCGTGCCCTCCTCCAAGGGAGTTTCACGACCCAGGGATCGAACCCATATCTCTTATGTCTAATGCATTGCAGGCAGATTCTTTACAGTCTGAGCCACCAGGAAAACCTGGGGAATTGCAAATTAAAACAACAGTGAGATGCAATGCACACCTATCGGAATAGCTAAAGTTCAAAAACACGGGCAACACCAAGCGCTGCAGAGCATGTGGAGTGACAGGGACTCTCATTCATTTCTGGTGGGAATGCCAAATGGCACAGCCACTTTGGAAAACAGTGTGGAAGTTTATTATAAAGTGAAACATGCCTTTACTATAAGATCCATTAATCACATTTCTTGATATTCACCCAAATGAATTGAAAACTTAGTTCTACACAACTACCTCCATATGGAGGTTTATAGCAGATTTATTCATAATTGTCAAAACTTGGAAGCAATCGCGATGTTGTTTAATAGGAGAATGGATAAACAAACTGGTAGTTGCATCCATACAATGGATTATTATGCAGGGATTAAAAAGAAGTGGGCTATCAAGTCACAAAAAGACATGGAGGAAGCTTGAATATTTATTGCTAAGAAGATAATTTGAAAAGGCTACATACTGCATGATTCCAGTGATTTGACATTCTGGAAAAGGCAAAACGAAGAAGATGGCAAAAAGATCAGTGATGGCCACGAAGTAGGGCTGGAGGGGAGGCAGGAAGGGGTCATCCCTGTGGAGCACAGGGGATTTTTAGGGCAGGGAAAATACTTTGCATGATATTGTAATGGTAGACCATGGTATAATACATCTGTCAAAACCCATAGGATCTACAGCAGATTTCAGGTTTTTTTTTTAATATTTATTTTTATTTATTTATTTGGCGGTGCTGGGTCTTCGTTGTGGCATGTGGGATCTTTAGTTGTGGCATTTGGAATTTAGTTCCCTGATCAGGTATCAAACTCCACCCCCCTGCATTGGGAGCTTGGAGTCTTAGTCACTGGACTACCAGGGAAGTCTCCATAGCATGTCCCACATTAAAAGTGAACCCTAATGTAAACTATGGACTTCAGTTAGTAATAATAATGTATTAGTATTAGCTCATCAATTGTGAGAAAGAAACTAAAACGGTCAAACTTAGGTTTAGATTTGTTAAACTTTTGTCAATATTATTAATATTAAGAAACGGTCCCTCTCAAATATCTGTGGGTAGCACACATTCAAGAATAATTTCATTTTCCACTTGGGGCCATGTGGAAACTCTTTATTTGAGAGTTTTCTGTTGTTTTGCTTAACTCTTCAAGTTCTTTTAGTATCATGTGTTAATTAAGTCTACTTTTTTTATTAGCATTTAGCCAATATTCTCATTATGTGTCCAAGAGTGTTGTGAAGTCAAATGTGATATGTGTTTTCCTAAGATGTTTCATCTTTGGGAAGGTCCAGAAAATTCTGTATATAATCTTTTTAATGTTCCAAAGAAAGCCATGGTGATCACAATTGAGGTCAGGTCATAGTAACAAATAACTATGCATACGGCACAAAAAATGTTTCTGGATTTTCAGTGAAAAAAATGACCTTGTTCATCTTTATTTTTACTAACCATGTCAATCACATTATCAACTTGCCTTCAACATCCTTTTAAATCAATGCCTAAAATCGTAAGTTGCTTTTCTTCAGTCCTTCCCGTAAATCAGAACAGGACTAAAACCAATTAAATTGTGAGTCTGTTTCATCTAGACTCATATATAGACAAATTTTTAAAAATATGAATTAATATTACAAATGTTCCTCAGCCACTATTGCACATACCACATTAATTTCTGAGTACTTCTGGAACCACAAATTGGAACAGGAGGAAAAGCAAGAGGATTTGACTAGTTAATTAATGTATTTCTTTTCTTCCCTAAGTGCTTCAGTGGCTGAAATCCTCCCCTGGCACAAACCATAGAACTTTGTGGCATTTGGATACAGTCACTTCGTGTTTCCAGGACATGGGTTATGAGATGTGAAGTGCTTCTCTGGGCCTGAACAGAGTTATTACTAGAGCCGATGTTTAGGGTTTGAGTTCTCCTGTACCAGTGCCAAGCCTCGGATGCCGATTGAGAGAGGAAAACAGTTTTCAGTGTGTTTGTGATTTGTGGGGCTTAGGGTGTTACTCGAAGGGAACAGGGTGGAGGGGTCAGGGTGAAAGCAAAGTGTGGAGCCTTATACCCAGTTCAGAGGTGTGGAGCCCTATACCAAGGTCACAGGACAGAAATCTCTGGAACTGATGGAGCCCTATATCTATTACTGCCATAAGCCTTTAGATCATCTAAACCAGTCAGTTCCCTGACCCCGTATTAGGTAAAATACCCACTCAATGCATCCTAAAAAGTGAAAGTGTCAGTTGCTCAGTGGTGTCTGACTCTGTGATCTCATGAACTGTAGCCCGCTAGGCTCCTCTGTCCCTGGAATTCTCCAGGCAAGAATACCAGAGTGGGTAGGTAGCCATTCCCTTCTCCAGGGGATAGATCAAACCTGCATCTCCTGTGTTGCAGGCAGATTCTTTACCATCTGAACCACCAGGGAAATGCCCATAGCATCTTAACCAATCACTAATGCCACTCGTCTGGTAGGAATTTTCTTGGTCTTGAGGCTATAAAAATTGGTGTGCAAATATTTCAGCCTTGAATCAGTGGTCCTTTGGGAAAGAAAGGATTCAGGCAGTATCAAGGGTGGGGTGATGGGGACAGTTTAAGAAGTCCAGGCCAGAGTGGAGATGATGAGTTTAATGTGCCAACTAAAAACTGTCATAGGCCACCAGTCACTGAACGTTGACATATCCTGAAGGGAATTCAGAGCCAAGAGCAGGAATGAGGCACTCTGTGCTCTGGGAAAAACAGGCAGAACAGGCCTTTGGATAGTTATTTTCAGGAGATTTTATGAACCCAAATTCTTGCACCTTCTTATATCTAGAAAAGCACTACAATCATTAACTGAGACATCTGCTTCTCACGACTAGCAGCAAACTTCCTGTGACCAGCAGCAGCCTTCTGTAAAAATATGTGTGAAATTGCACGTCTGCCTGATTACCTACCAAAATTGCATATATATATATATCCACCTCCCCTCTTACCTCTTCTGAGCACTTCCTCAGAACTATCTGAAAGACTGTCTGCTGGCCTATAGTCCTTGTTTTACCCTGAGTAAAATTTAACTCACAACTTTCTTGTTGTGCATTGTTTTCAGTGGACAAATGGAAGCAGGAAATTAAAGCAATAGAGGCCTGGGGAAGGCTCAGACCCCCAAGTATTCTTGGCTTTAGTAAAGAACACCAGGCTGTCAATATATTTGGGATAGGATCTTAGATATTTTAAATATTATTTGAATATTTTAAAAAGGGATAAATTTTTGAGGTCACTACTAAGGCTGCCCAGGCAGATATCTAACTAGAGTGTTTAAGTAAACAAATGAATAGGGCCTGGACTAGGAGTGTGAGCTATTTCCGGCCTGTGACCTCTTTTTCTTACCGACAATGAGGTAATCTCCTGAGGATGCTGAGAAAACGTGACAGAGCTTGAGGAAACAGTTTGGAAATAGCAGTTTGGGAATCCCCTATCACAATCTGTTTCCCCTTAAACTGCTTGTGAGCAGGCAGGTCTTAAACATTTTTTGCATCCCCAGTGCATGTGTAGCAGCTAAATACACGACGGAGTAAATGGATGAATGGAGGAGGACAAGGGACTGAGTCTGGCTGCGGAGGCGGTGCAATCCTAAAGCCTGGTTCAGAACAGTCACCACCAATCCGTACTTAAAAAAAAAAAAAAAAATCAAGGCTGGAGGAGAAGAGAAAGAACAGCGCCGTATTAGCCCAGTCCGAAGTCCTTCCTGTTCCTTTAGAATCCACCTGCCAGTGCAGGAGACTCAAGAGAGGCGGGTTCGATCCCTGGGTCAGGAAGATCCCTTGGCGTAGGAAATGGCAACCCACTCCAGCATTCTTGCTTAGGAAATCCCATGGACAGAGAAATTTGGCAGACCACAGTCCGTGGAGTCGCAGTCTGACACGACTGAGTCACAGAACACACAGACACAAAGTCCTGCTCCTTTAGGGGGCGGGTCTGGGGCAATTCGCCTCTGCCCTTCAATTGACCAATCCCCGCCTTAAGGGGGCGGGGATTTCAATCTGTTTCCGCCCCACCTCTGTAAAGCACTGAATGTGTTTGGGCGCCGTTCAAACGGACCAATGAGCGCTCGACGTTTCCTGGTCTCACCGATTGGCCAGAGTTCGTCGCCCCTCCCTCCTTGACATGCCTCTTGCCCCACCCTTTCTCACACAAGATGGCGGCGCCCAGCGGAGTAGAGGCCGCGCCTGGGGTTTGCTAAGGCTCGCTCCCTTCCCTCCTGCTCCCTTGGGCGCAAAGCGCCGCGAGCCCAGAGAACGGGGGCCGGGAGGGGACAGGGGCACCTGCGTAGCTGGACCGCGAGCTCGCGCCCAGCCTGCGCCGCCCCCACCCGGCCCCGGCCTGGCCCGATCCCTTCCGTTCCCGGTCTCCTCTCGATCTGACCCACTGCCCGGCCGTGGTACGCCACCAGCAGGCCTCCAAAGCTGAGATTTTTTCCTCCAGCCCGGGATCACTTCCACTTTAGAGATGTTTGGGCTCTTTCTTCCCAAACAGCTCGCCTTCAAAACTGGGAGACCTGGCCCTCTTTCCCTCCCCTGAGACTCCACTTCTAACCCAGTTCTTCCTCAGCTTCTCTCAGATTGGAGAGACCTTTCACCTCCCTTCCAGATTAATCTCTGAGCCCCCTTTCCCCCAAATATTGACAACCGTGACATCCCCCCTCAACCGGGTGCCAGACTTCTCTTGGACCAACCCCATAGCCCTATCATGGAGGCTGTGTACTTGGTAGTGAATGGGGTGGGCCTGTTGCTGGATGTGCTGACCTTGGTGTTGGATCTCAACTTCCTGCTGGTGTCCTCCCTCCTGGCTTCCTTGGCCTGGCTCCTGGCCTTCATCTACAACCTGCCACACACGGTACTGACTAGTCTTCTGCACTTGGGCCGTGGAGTCTTACTTTCACTGCTGGCCTTGATTGAAGCTATGGTCCGCTTCACCTGTGGGGGCTTGCAGGCCTTGTCTGCGGTACTGTACAGCTGCTGTTCTGGCCTGGAGAGCCTAAAGCTCCTGGGGCACCTGGCCTCCCATGGGGCACTTAGGAGCCGGGAGATCCTCCACCGAGGCATCCTCAATATGATCTCCAATGGCCATGCTTTGCTGCGTCAGATCTGTGACATCTGTGCCATCACCATGAGCCTGGTGGCCTACGTGATCAATAGCCTGGTCAACATCTGCCTCATTGGCACTCAGAACTTCTTCTCTCTCGTGCTGGCCCTGTGGGATGCAGTGATGGGGCCGCTGTGGAGGATGACAGATGTAGTGGCTGCCTTCCTAGCCCACATTTCTAGCAGTGCCGTGGCCATGTCCATCCTTCTCTGGACCCCCTGCCAGCTAGTGCTGGAGCTCTTGGCCTCAGCTGCCCGCCTCCTGGCCAGCTTTGTGCTTGTCAATCTCACTGGCCTGGTGCTGCTGGCTTGTGTGCTGGCAGTGACAGTGACTCTGTTGCACCCGGACCTCACCCTGAGGCTGGCCACCCGGGTGCTCAGTCAGCTCCATGCCCGGCCATCCTACCACCGGCTCAGAGAGGATGTTGTGCGTCTCTCTCGGCTAGTCCTGGGCTTGGAGGCCTGGCGCCGAGTCTGGAGCCGTAGCCTGCAGCTGGCAAGCTGGCCAAACCGGGGAGGGGCCCCTGGAGCCCCCCAGGGTGGCCCTAGGAGGCTGCCCTCAGCCAGGACATGGCGACAGGACGTTCTTCCTGAAGCTGGGCCCCAATCGGAGGCAGAAGAGGAGGTCAGTATGGCCAGAGTGACGGCAGCCCGGGGCCGGGAGAGGCTCAACGTGGAGGAGTCTGTAGCTGGGCAGGACCCGTGGAAACTGCTGAAGGAGCAGGAGGAGCGGAAGAAGTGTGTCATCTGCCAGGACCAGAGCAAGACGGTGCTGCTTCTGCCTTGTCGGCACCTGTGCCTGTGCCAGGCCTGCACTGAGATCCTGATGCGCCACCCTGTCTACCACCGCAACTGCCCACTGTGCCGTCGGGGCATCCTGCAGACCCTCAACGTCTACCTCTGAAGGTTTCCTCCCTCCCTCCTGCCCACCCCTCCACGCTCCACGCAGCCATTTGCGCGCAGACAGCGTTCACACCTGATCTCTGGGTCCCGGCCTGCATCCCCTGCTGCCCCCACAGTCATCGTGCTGAGTCTCTAAGCTGCATCTCCAGGACATTGAAATGGGAAACCCTGGAAGACTGTGACTTGGGTAGGGGCAGGGTAACAGCTTTTCCTTACCCCGTGTCTCCCTGTGATGCCAAGGGTGGCGAGGGTGTCGCTCTGCAAGGCCCTGGAGACTGTTCACTGTGGACTCCCCTCCAGCCTGCCAGGGCCCACCCTGATGCCAGTGTTGGGGACTCCCCCCACTTTGCTTCTGGTTTTTCTGTTGCGGATTTGTAGGTTCTCTCCCTGCTCCCTGCCCACTTCCTTCCCAGCTTCTTCAGCCACGCACATCAATGTCATTTGGGTATTTTGGCAACTCAAGGGCCTTAGAATGATCTTGAACATTTGCTTTCAGCTGGAGCTGCTATGCTCTGGCAGGCTTTGGGGGTAGTATATCTCAGGTGCCCTTTGAGCTGCTTCTACCTGTCGTGATCTTACAAGGCTCCCTCCTTACCTGACCCGACAGCTGGGATCAAGCATTACCCCCCAGGTGTGTGTGTATGTGTGTATGTTTGCACCTGGCTTTGGGACCATGTACCCTCTGATACCCAGCACCACTGGGAACCTCAGGAGGGATAACCAGATTTCTGTTCTTCTTCCTTTCATTCCCCACATCACAGAGACAAAAATGGTATTCCCCTTCGGTCCGTCTCTCCCTGCCACTGGGGAGGGCAGACTGCACATTTCACTAGGGTCCAAATACAGGAGCCAGGGCTGAGGGGCATGCAGCTCCCTGAGGGGTCCATCTGGCCCAGGATCCAATGAATAAAGTTGTGTTACAGCTCTGATGGCCTCTGTGTGCATCTTTGCAAGGGTTGGTTGGTTATGGTAACGGATGCTCCAGCAGGGTCTTTCAGTCCCAACAAGTGTAGTTGATGGAACTGGCAGGGGAAGAGCTGAGATAGGGTGCCTTGGGGAGAGCCCGTGCCCTGTGTGGCTAGATTTGCTTTTACCTTCTCCAATTTGTGCCCTCTCATATGCATGGCTTTTGGAAAGCTCTCCCTATCTTTTCCAGGCTTCCCTGGTGGCTCAGTCAGTAAAGAATCTACCTGCAGTGTGAGAGACCTGCAGGGTTTGATCCCTGGGTTGGGAAGATCCCCCAGAGAAGGGCATGGCAACCCACTCTAGTATTCTGTCCTGAATCCCCATGGACAGAGGAGCCTGGCAGGCTACAGTCCATGGGGTTGCAAAGAGTCAGACACAACTGAGCGACTAAGCATAGCCCTATCCTTTCCATTTTGCCAGAATTGAGCCCTTGGAGAGAGGAATGTGAACTTACCCTTTGAGCAAGTTTTTCTTCTAGTGCCACACTTTCCAGGAGAGCACTTGTGGCTCTTGCTGCCTGGAGTCCAATCTACCCTGAGATCCCTGAAGGAGCTGGTGCTTGTCTTTGTGTCTCTTGGCAGAGAGTGGCGCTATGATGGGCTGGAGTATAGCTGCGGGGCCTCCTCATGGAGAGCTGGGAGAGCTGGGAGCTCATTTAATGGGCCCAGTCCCCATTGGTCATATGAATCCTCACATGACCTGCAAAGGGGTGGGGGGGGGGGTGGAACACTACCCCATAATTGTATGTTAAATGTAGGAGCATAATGCCAGGGACAGCCTTCTGGAAGGAGGGGAGGGGGGAAAGGGGTAGGTCAGGAGGAAACACTGAGGAGAGGCCCCTTCACTTTTGCGTTGAGAGCCTGAGCTGATGTGGGCCTGGCAAGGCAGGGTTTGTTAGTCATTGGGTTAGGGGCGGGACAAGGCGGGGAGACTTGAAGGGGCTCTGCGGCTAGCCTCAGACTTAGTGGCGCGGCCTAGCACAGTGAGGGAGCGTTCCCCACATCCACCTTGGAGTGGAGAGGCCTGAGGAAGGGCTTTTCTGCCTCCCTGCCCCCAACCCTGGAGGGGGAGCTGATCAAGGGGAGGCTTAGTTCCTTCCAGTCTCTGTTTAATGTGAGGATAAACATTTTATGAGAGAAGATAAACTTCCTGAGCTGGGAGCAAATGACCCCATTATCCCCCACCCCCATCTGGAATCCTACTGGGAGACCTCAAAACCCTTCCTCTACCTAATCGCCCTAGTAAGCCAGGAGCTCAAGCTATCTGGGGTCATTGCTGCATTCTGGAACTGGGGCGCCCCCTTGTGGCCATCTCCGAAAATGACATCTCTAGACAGCCAGGGACACTCCACTCCCCTGGCATCGAGGACAGAGAAATAGCGTTCCAGTCATCCAGAAAACAGGCACATAGCCAGAGGAGCCATGGGTGAAAATCTCAAGTTCCTTTTTGTTGGTCAGGGCAGGGATGTGTGTGTTGAAGCTCCAGCCAGTTCTTATGATATCTTTGAGTTAGAAAAAGGTGTGCCTTCTTGGGTGGCCGGAGTCCCCCACCAGGACACCATCCCCAGCAGGGCGCTCCTTTTCACAACCTACACCGCTTGGGGGGCGGCTCCGTGGACCGGCCTCTTCATCACCTGGGCCTGTTTTCTGTATCTCCTGGTCCATAGCTCCATCCAGCCTCAGAGCCCTTCCTTCTGCCTGAGCACCCTCTCCCTCCACCCTTCTCCCATGTCTCCCCATTCTTGGAATCAAAGCATTTCCACCAGTAAAGAAAGACTGAAGCCAGCAGGAGGGTTTTATTAGATTTATTGAATGATCTCTGAGAAAAAGGGCCCAGGAGCAGGAGGGATGAGGGAAGACCCAGAGAGACAGAGGACCAGGAAGCGAGCACCGCACCTTGGGGTCCCAGGCCAGAGCAACTGGGGGGAACTAAACCTGCCAGAACAGCGAACTCCTTTGATCTAGGGCAGAAATCCAGCTACTGCCCCATGCTGCCAGCCCTGATCTCAGCCTTGATCCCCTGTTCTGCTGGCAGCAGAACAGAGAGGCCCCCCACCCCACCTCTGCAGTCATTCGGGATACTACAGGGGGGCCAGCCCTCCCGGGTGATGGGGCCAGTCGGTGTCACTCCCTCCTCCCCTAGGAGTGAGACAGTACGAGCTCACTTCCCAGTGGGCATCAAGCGAAGACAGGGGAGCTGTGCCAGTCAGAATACACTAGAAATCCAGAGAAGGTGCTGTCTGTCTTGATGCTGGCATAGATGCCAATATAATCCCCCACGCCCACCTGTACCCACACCTGGTCCTCAGGCTCCAGCCTCACCATGGCGCCCCCGGAGAGCGAGGCTGGCTTGGGCCACCCCCCGAAGAACTGGAAGAAAGAGGCGATAGACTCGCCGTTCTTGACCAGATCAAACTGCAGGCTAGCCCGGTAGACGGTGGCGTGGACGGCAAAGTAGTAGACCCCGGGCACCTGGCAGGTGAACTTGCCGGTGACGGCGTCGTAATGTCCCTGCTCGTTCACCAGCACGCGGTCGAAGGGTAGGGGCGCGTCCGACGGCGGGGGCACCCGGCTCTCAGAGCGCTTAGCGCTGAAGGCGGAGCGCGGAGGTACCGAGCATTCGCCCGCCGGCCCGGTTGCTCCCATGGGTCCTGCCTCTCCTCGCGGCCCGGGCTCCCCACGCGGCCCCGGGAGGCCTGCGGGTTGGGGGGGGGAGGGAAGCACAGCGGTTAGGGTGCGCCCGCCGCGGTCCTCCCGCACCCTCCCTCGGCCTCCCAGCCGCCCCTTCCCAGCTGGGGCGGCCCCCATCCCCGCTTCCTGCAGGGTTCGGGGTGGATCTGAGGGTCCCAGGGGTTCCGGCTCCCCCGCTGAGTCACTCCTCTGCGCGCTCCCGGAGGCGACCGGGTCGGGCGGGGACGGGAGCGGCGCCCCCTGGCGTGAACCCCTAGCTCGGGACCCCGCGGGCAAGAGCCGGGCCGCGCTCACTGGGACGTCCCCACCGATCGCCGCCGAGGCGCCGCTTACCCGGCCTCCCGCCCTCGCCTTTCTCTCCCGGAGCCCCCGGCGCGCCATCGCGGCCGTCGCGGCCGTCGCGGCCCGGCAGGCCCTGGCTGCCGTGGTGGCCCGGCGTGCCGGGGAGGCCCGGGTGCCCCGGGCACAGGCTGGGGATCTTGTTGTCGTCCAGAGGGGCCGAGCCGGTCGCCAGGCCCAGGAGCAGCAGGGCGAGGAGCGGCCTCATGGCGCTGGCACGCGGAGCCCGGACGCCGCGGGCCTCTGGTCGTCTGTGGGCCGGGCAGGACGGGAGTCGGGACCAAGAATCCTGGGACCTGTCTCGGTCCCCACTCCGGGCGCGGCCGGCTCAGTCCCCACCCCACTGCCGTGTCCCTGAGCGAGGCTGAGTGGCCGCGTGGGGAAGAAGAAGAGGGGTCCCTAGACTCGGGAACCTCTAAAGCCCCGCGCCGAGGGAAGGACAGACCGGACCTCCCTCCTCTTCCAGCCCCGGCCGGCGCCCAGTCTTTCCCACAGTCCCCTCCCCCAGCCCCATCTCCCCGCCCCACTCACGCCCCTCCCGGCGCCGGGGGCTGCTCGCTGTCTCCGTGGCCTTCGAGGCTCTCGCTAATCCAGACCCTCCAGGTGACCCCAGCGCCGCCTTCCCTGCGCTTCGCTCCAGCCAGGCTCCCCCTGTCCCCGGTGTCTCCCTGGTCCTGTTCGTTCCTTGCCGGCTCCGCGGTGCTCCTCCCAGACTCCAAGAGGAAACCAGTTGCTCGGGGGCCAAGAGCCCAGGCCGGGAAATAGCAGGGAAATAACTCGTGGTGTCGCGCGGCGGCCGGCCAAAGTTTGGGGGAGAGAGGAGGGAGAGGTTTGAGGCGGGCACAGAGAGGCAGAACTGTGAGAGACAGACCCTCAGGGCATCCATAGCTCCAAGGAGCTGGAAGCAGAGATGATGCAGCGACAGAGACCAAGGATAACAGAGACCAAGGATAAATCCAGGAGAAATAGAAGCTGAGAACTGAGGGTGGAGGGTTCTAGAGCAGTAGACAACTGGATGGCCAGGGCTCAGAACAGGCCCTGCCACATAACTAGACTCTAGATGACATTTTCTGTCGAATAAATGAAAATGTCAGAAGGCGGGTGGTAGAGAGCCTGAAAAACCAGATGGGAGATGGGAAAGGCAGAAAACAGGAAGTCAAGGTCAGACACGGGTGGGAAGGGCTCCAGATTGTCAGTGGTACAGCGGTGGAGTCAGGCCAGCTGTTTGCAGCAGCTGGGGAAAGTAAAGGCATAGGGGAGGATGCGGGAGGGTGGGGGGCTCCACTAGCGGCACTGAGGACTCCTCTTCCCCTCCCTGGGAGGACCCCGAGGTGAGGGGGATGGGCAGAGTTCCATGCTGGGCCCCTTCCCTTGCCCCCTTGCCTGCCCACCCTGATGGGCAAAAGAGGGTGTGTAACAGAGGGCAAGGGCCCCGCCTCAGGGTCAGGGCTGGGCACAAGCCTCCAGGCCAGCTGCCTCAGGCAGCCTGTTGCAGTTGAAGGGCCAGGGGGTGCCCAGTAGCGCCAGGCCAGACTGGCACTGGCGCTCTGCCTCCTGGCAGACAGAGCGGCAAGGGGGAAGGACGCTGCCTAGTGGGGTGCAGTGGGGCACCAGCAGCCCACAGAGGAGCCTCCGGAAATTCTGGTAGCAGGGCAGGCTTGTCAGGCTCTGTGGAAGGAAGAGGGGAGCCCTCAGGCACCCGGCTCCCCAGATGCCCGCCCTTCCTGGGGGCTCCTCCTTATCTCTGCCTGGAGCACCTTGTAACCTCTGAGGACCTCCACCACCTCCTCCTGGGTGGTCACGCCCACCCAGATGTTAGGGAAGGCCGTGGTGTTGTAGCTCAGACCGACACACATCTCCACCTGGACAGGCTCACAGGCCAGCTCTGCAGGGAGGGGAGGGGAGAGTCACCCCGGGGAGCACTCCCTGCCTGTGTGACTGGGGACAAGTCACCTCATCACCCTTCATGGGTCAGACGGGGCTTGTAAGAACCAAAGGAGGTAATATGGAAAGAAAGTGAAAGTGTCAGTCGCTCAGTCGTGTCTGACTCTGCGACCCCATGGACTGTAGCCCGCCAGCCTCCTCTGTCCATGGAATTCTCCAGGCAAGATCCTGGAGTGGGTTGCCATTGTGAGAATCAAAGGAGCTAACACGGAGAGGTGCCTTATATACATGTCAAGGGTTCCTGTTCTCAGGAGCCTATTCCAAGCATCTTTCGCCAGCCCCGGGCATCATGCAGGCAACTCTGTGATCTCAGGAAGCAAGGGTCACCAACATTGGCAGAACCACTAGCCATCTGGAAGGAATTCTCCTGGGCTCACCCACATCTGTGAGGTGGACCTCTCTGTGTGGCAAAGGCCAGACTGGTTCTTGAAGCCCCAACCATCGTCTCCCAGATTCCCATTTGCTTTGGGGGTAACTCTAAATACTGTTGCCATGGCTGGGGGAGAATCCCTTCAGGATTTGGTGAAGTGGTCCAGAGTCTGAACAGGGGGTCCCCAGCCCCCATCAGGAAGGACGGGGTAACTGTTAAGACGCGTGCCAGTGGGTTTCTCTGGATGGGCACCCAGCCTTCCCAGTCTGCCAGCCCTGCCCACAGTGCCCTGGGGCAGGCTCCTCACCTGGGGTTGGGAACAAGGGGCTGCTGCAGTTGTCATCGGCGCAGTCTCGCCACGTGCTGCACATCCACTGCAGACTCTTACACCTTCCATCCTGGCAGGGGAACTCTCCGGGCCTACAGGGGCCTGCAGGCACAGGGGGGACATGTCTGAATCCCCATGCCCTTCACTGTGCTCAGACCAGGGTCTAGATCCCTTCCCCATTCTTCTGGAGGCGCCCCTACCTCCCAAACCCAAGTGCCCAGGGCCACCTACTCTCTGTGGCATTGAGGGCCCGGTAGGTGGCTGAGAAGCCCCCAACGCTGAAGCCATGGTCTGTCCTAAAGAGCACTGCCAGCTGGTGGTGCGAGGAGATGAGACGCGGGGGCAGCTCTGCTCCGCAGAACCTGTCCAGAGCAGGCAGCGGTCCTGGCATCAGGCCGCCTGGCTGAGCGAGCATGCGTGAGGCCTCTTGCAGGCCCGGGGCGGGTGGAGGAACCAGGTTCTCTGGCCGATGCCAGAGGGGATGGGAGGCATAGTCATTGACTCATGGGAGGAAGACACCCGTGTTCAGTAGACAAAGGACTAGACACACTGCTTGAACTTGAGCCACTTCGACCTGGGGGAAATTAGTGAAGGTTCCGGGGGAAGTGGACACGGACCCAGGAGAACTGGGAGCGGGAAAGGCCTGGGGAGGGCTTCCTGGAGGAGCAATGTAAGGAGTCAAAGCGAGAGGGACAGGTACAAAGGTGTGGAAGGACAAGCCTTTTTTTAAAAAAGTGTGACAGTGAGGAGACCTCCAGCTTGGTGCAAAAGAGGACAATGATGCTACTGAATGGCTGTGGTAATTTGTGGGCAGCCTTGACATCAGGCGGTGGAGGCGGGGGTGTATCCTTGGCTCCTCCCGTGAATCTGCCCTATACCTGTCCAGGAGACTGAGGGCCCCTGAGCTGCGGGCCTCGTACACCTCCACGTAGTCAGACTTGCACTCATCCTGAGCTTCCAGGCTGAAGTTGTGGAAGAGCAGTTCGATGCCATGTCCAGCAGGCACCGAGATATGCCAGGTGCAAAGCTTGGGGAAGGCACAGGTGGGGTAATTTATGGGTTCCTTCTCCTGTCCCAATCGGGGTCCCCAGGCTGAGCTCCAGACGGGCTTTCCCCGGGTGCATGTGGTCGGGAGGGGGCTTGGCCCACACCACTCTCATCATCATTCGCGGAAGGGACTTTAACTTGTCTGGTTTCAGAGATAAGCTTACCCAGCATGGGAGCTGGGTACCTAGTAAGCACTTAATAATGTCCCCTTCCTGTCTGCTTGATCTCTGGTCTGTCCAGGTACAAGGAGTATCTGCCATGCTGTTCTCAATTGCACTAACCCCGATGCTCAGGTGTGCCCACATGTGCCCCACTGCCCTCCCCATGGAGTGCTGGCTGGCTTACCTGTTGGTGAGGGTACTGCTGCAGGTAGCTGGGAGCAGAGAAAGTGCCCTCAAGCCCAGTCAGGTTCCCCCCACACCCTGTAGAGAGGAGAGGGGGAGGCTCATGAGTTTATCACGATCTGTGCCTTTGGCCAGTAGGCCCGGCAGTGACAGCGGCAAAGAGTCTTGGCTGTGCCCATGGGAAACAAGTTCTGGGCCAGAAGGATGACCAGGCAGGTTTGGATCTGGGCCAGGCCAGGGGGGGGTCCAGCCTGCACTTGGATCAGACAGTACCCGCCCCGAGGCTGATCGGACCTGTACCTGAAAACTTGGCACTGCAGTTGGTCTCATCACTGCCGTCAGCACAGTTGGTGAAACCGTCACACACCGAGTCACGCAGCAAGCAGACGAACTGGTCACAGGGGAACTCCTCGTGGGCACAGCGCCCTGGGGGTAGGCATCTGGATTCAGAACCCTCTAGAGTCTCTACCCCTTTTGCAGGGCTGGGAGCAGCTGGAGGGGAGGAAAGTGACTGGTTGACAGGTAGCTGGGCATTTGGTGGGAGAACACTCACCATGTCCAGGGGCCACAGCCTGGTACCAGGCATGGAAGCCAGATCCTTCCACACTGCTGTCAGAGACGAAGGCCACCCGGAGGCGGCTGGCATTGGTGTTGAGTGTGGGGGGAGGCACCCTCCCACATACTCTGCAAGAAGCCAGATTGGGGGTGATGGCGGCTCAGAGCTCAGGGCCAGCAGGAGTGGAGCCTGCCTGGGCTCTGTGGTCCTCTTTCCTGAAGCCCCATCCTGGGGACGATGTGTCGAAAAAGGTTCCCTTTCTTCCCAGCAGAGCTGTGACCTCCCTGGCACCTGCTTGTCCATCCTTGAAGCATTGATTCATGGGAAAGACATGCAGGAGCTCCAGCTTCCAGATTTGGAAGTCAAGGTCAGAGAGGGGAAGTGACCTTCCCAAGGTCATATAGCAAGATGGAGGCCAAGTCTCTGCTGGGCGCAGAGGCCAAGTCTCTCCATTTCTTCCTCCCAGTCAAGAGTTTCCCTCTGCATCTCCCTGGTTCTGCCCTCCAGACAGTCATTCAGGACAGGGGTGAGAGAGTGGGGCTTGGGATCTCTGGGGACAGAGGAACCTACCTGAGGAGGGGGCCTTCAGGCTCAGGAGAGATTTCCAAGCGATCGAAAAGACAAGAGGCCACACTCTCCGTGCTGAGTGTTTCAATCTTGAGCTGTATTGCATGGTCTGTGGCCACGTGGATATGCCACACGCAGTGGGCATTGGGTGGGTAAGGGTCTGGGTAGTTGGGGCTGCTGAAGAAGCCCCTTGGGCCGGGAAGGAGGCCCCCACAGGCTGCAGAGATGGAGGTTAGCATTCAGAGGTCAAAAGAAGAGAGAGTTTTTTTTTTTTCCTCAAGGTGCCTTTTCCTACACACCCCCCTCCTGCCATCTTGGGCCCTTCTCCAGGAAGATCAGCCCCGAGTACTCACCGGACTGGGGTGCAAGGCTCACTCCTACCTCCGGTTGCCCTCTAGGGGTCCCAGTTGCCTGGGAGGTGGTGGTGGAGGTGGCAGGGGTAGTGTCAATGGTGGCGAGGCCTCGGGAAGGCAGTGGATGGTAGGTGGCTCCGGGTGGGGCTGTAGCCTGCAATTCTGGAGGTGACAAGATGGAGGAGGGGCTCAGAGGCTCTGGATCCCTTGGGGGCATGGGAAGTAGAGCTCATGGAGTCTCATCCTAAAGCCCTTCTTCCAGCAGACCCTGGGGACTTACGGGCCAGGATGATGGCCACCAGCAGCCCGAGCAGCAGGAGCAGCAGGCCGGCCAGCAGAAGGACACAGAGCCAGGAGAAGCGGCAGTCCGGCTGCAGCCGTCGGGGATGCCGACCTGGGGACAGGCAGGGCGGGCTTTTGAGAACCCTCTCCCTTGGGCGTCCCTCACCCACCCTCAGCTGCCAGGCCTTTCTTGTCCTACCCCCGGGTCACCCCCTGAGATGGTTACCATGCCAGGGAGCTCGGGCGCTGCAGTTGGTGTCCTCCTGGAGGGCGGGGAAGGGGCAGGGTGGCCCTGATTCAGGCTCAAAAGCAGGATTGCAGAACTCAGTCTGGAGGGAGAGATTTGAGGGCTGAGGGCCGGTGGCAGCGCTGCCTGGCAAGTCTGTTCACAGGGCACGGCAGCCCTGGGCAGGCGTCTGGGTCTTGCGGGAGTGGCCCTGGTGACCCTACCTTGCTCAGCTCTGTCGTCTCCACACAGAGGACGATATCTGAGCAGTCCTTCATGGCTCTAGGCTCTGCATGGCTTTCTGGAGTCCCTGCGATGGCACAAGGCCCTAAAGAGCCTACTTCCTGCCCCAGTCCCCCTCTCAAGGGGCAGCCTCTGCTCCCTGAGGCTGCGGGCAGTCGGGCTGGACCAGCTCTCCTGCTGCCTTAGGCAGACTGGCTCAGGCTGCTGGCTATGTCTCCGTGTGGGGGAAGGGACAACAGCCAGAAGGAATTCGCAAGGGCATGGAACGGTCCCTTAATCCAACTCAGCTGAGGATGCTGAAGTCGAGACCCTGGCACACAGCAGCGGTCCTTAAAGGCACAGGCCGTGGCTGAGGGCACCCTGCAGGGGAAGCCGGGTGCTCTGTGTGGGCTGTGACGGGGAGCTGGTCACCCCCTTTCTTAATCTCACTGAGGTGTTGAGTGAGTGCTGGGAGGACAGGCGGGCAGTGGGGCAGTTTTGCAAGCATGAGGGAGCCTTCAAAGCCAGGTGTGAAGACTTGGCAGCTTCAAAGCCTGTGAGTCCTGAGGGCCCTGGACAAAAACAGTGGCCTTCTGCTCCTTCTAGGCTTCCCAGGTGGCTCAGGGGTAAAGACTCTGCCCGCCAGTGCAGGAGACGGGGGTTCAGTTCCTGGGTGGGGAAGATCCCCTGGTGAAGGAAAGGGTTACCACTCCAGTATTCTTGCCTGGGAAATCCCATGGACAGAGGAGCCCGGTGGGCTTCAGTCCATGGGGTCACAAAGAGTCAGACAACAATTTAGCGAGTAAATAACAACTGCTCCTTGGCATCAGGGTGACTGAGGCATTACCCAAGCTGGGTCTTTGAAAGTCCCCTTAAAGCACCTGGGTGCCCAGGGACAAGAACATGGTGTAAGCAGGACATGGTATGTAAGGGTTGCTTGTGAACTTGAGGGGTTGGCTGCTTCTTCCTGGGCCACTTCAGGCTGCAGGAGAAAGGACAGAGGAGGAGGTGCCTGAGGCCTTGGGCAGGGTCAGGGCAGGCCCTCCACATGGGCTGTGAATTCTGGTGGGTGGTGCCATCTGCTGTTGCGGGATAGAAAATCTGCCCTCTGCAAACTACATCACTCCATGTCTCTCTCTCCAGGAGCGAAGTTCTGGAAAATCCCCGCCTGACGCATCTGTCCACAGGGAGACTGGAAAGGGATTGTAATCTGTTTTGACTCGGCCATGCTCCGGCTGAGTCGGGCAGGGCAGGAGGTGGGGAAGCAGCATATTTTTTTTTCTACTGTTTGTAGAATGTCTGTTACATACTAGCCCTGGGTGAGAGATCCTAAGTGCAATTTCTCTCCTTGAATCACTGTGAAACTGCATAATCCTTTTACAAATGATGGCCTACGGCTCAGAGAGGTTCAGTAACTTCCTCAAATTCACACAGCTGGTGAGATACCGAGACAGGCGTTGAACCCTGAACTGGGAAAATCCAAAACACACATTTTCTCAGACACACCTCTGTGCCTCTACACTGGCCTGAGGCAGGCTTGTGACAGAGGGGAACTAAGTAAGGAACCCAGTGGGGAGAGAAGAGGGGAGACTGAGTCTGTGATCCTGAGGCAGCTCTCCTCACACGCACACATTCAGCTCCTCTCTCTCTTTTTATTTGTTTAATTTTTTTAATTTTAATTTTTTAAACGCCAAAAGCATTTTTATATTGGAGACTTCCCTAGTGGCTCAGACGGTAAAGTGGTAAAGTCTACAATGCGGGAGACCCGGGTTCAATCCCTGGGTTGGGAAGATCTCCTGGAGAAGGAAATGGCAACCCACTCCAGTATTCTTGCCTGGAAAATTCCATGGAGGAAGAGCCTGGTAGGCTACAGTCCATGGGGTCGCAAAGAGTCGGACACGACTGAGCGACTTTTCACCATCACCATAGCCAGTTAACAGTGTGATAGTTCCCAGTGAACAGCAAAGGGACTTAGACATACACATACATGTATCCACTCTCCTCCCAACCCCTCTCCCATGCAGGCTGCCACAGAACGTTGAGCAGAATTCCCTGTGCTATACAGTAGGTCCTCATAGGTTTTCCATTTAAAATATAGCAGTGTGTAGCAGTCCATCCCAAACTCGCTAACTACCCCTTCCCCCTGGAAAGCATAAGTTTGTTTCCTTAAATCTGTGTCTCTTTTTTTATTTTTTAAAAAATATTTATTTGGCTGCACCAGGTCTTAGTTGCACTATATCTCTGATCTTCCTTGACACATGCAGTGGCTTTAGCTGAGGCATGTGGGATCTTGTTCCCTGACCGGGGATCCAACCTGGACCCTTGCACTGGGAGCTCAGAATCTTAGCCTCTGGACCACCAGGGAAGTTCCCAGCTCCTCTCCATTCATCCAATGGAGGGCCCTGGGGCACTTTTGTCTAGGGGAGAAGGCTTTCCTGGGTCCTAAGGCTGGACTGCTTTTAGAGGGTTTAAAAGGTCAAAAGTATTGTCCATAAATAACACAGTCATTATTTGTCCTTCTCTCTTTCATTCCTGAGCACACAGCTGAGGCTGCCTGATGTGAAGCAGGTGAGAATCCAGCCAGGTGTTAATGAGATTTGCAAAAATGTAAATACTATCCTTCTTCCTAAGTTCTTTTTGTTTTGGAAAATGCAGTTTTAAAAAAAAATTTAACAACCCACTCCAGTATTCTTGCCTGGAAAAGTCCATGGACAGAGGAGCCTGGCGGGCTGCAGTCCATGGGGTTACATGACTGAGCATGTGTGCACAAGGGTGGAGGGAGATGGGTTGGTAGCAATAAAGTGGTAGAACTAAAAAAATAAATAAATAAAATAAAAATAAAAAAAAAATTTAAGGGAATTCCCTGGCAGCCCAGAGGTTAGGACTGTGTGCTTCCACTGCAGGGGGTCACTGGTTCAATCAGGTGGTTTAATCCCTGGTCACAGTGTGGTGCAGCCAAAAAAAAAAAGAAAATGTTACTTATGCTAGCATGTGAAAGGTTTACTGTTATTTTAAAATTTTATTTAAAAATTAATAAGTATTTATATTCCTTTCAAATTTTAACATGGAAAATATTGATAGCTATAACAGGCAGGGAGACTTCTTGGAAGAGGTGGATATTTAGCCTAAAGTTAGAGAGTTGAGGGACTTCCGTGGTGGTTCAGTGGATAAGACTCCAGGGGGCCTGGGTTCTAGTCCAGGTCAGGGAACTAGATCCCACCATGCTGCAACTAGGACCTGGTATAGCCAAATAAAAAATTTTTTAATTGGAAAAAAGTGAGAGAACTGTAAAAAATTCTAATAGGTAAAACTTGGGGGTTGGGTAGGGATTCCAGAAAGGAGGGGCTGCTTAGCACTGTGGGCCTCAAGAGCCTGGGTTGTGACCCATTTTAAGCAGGGAGTGGCTTGGTCAGAACCGGGTCTCAGAACAGTCCCTGTTTGTGGGGAAGTGGTAGCAAGGAGGCAGGGGGGAGGCAGGCAGGGCTGGAAGCGTCTCTCTGGCTTTGCCCTTGCCCATGGCCATCCTCCACGACACCCGTTGCGGTTGGCTGCTTCGTGAAAGTGTTCCTAGGAGAGGAGGTAATGGGGGCGAGGCACCAGGGCAGGGTGGGAAGATGGCTTGGGTGAACATACGAGAGAAACAGAACCTAGACCCTTCCCTCATTGGCTCATTTGACCCTCACGACAGCCCGGCGAGGCAAGGACAGGGAGGCATTTTTGTTCCCATTTTCCAGATGTAACTGAGGAGCCAGAGTCACACAGCTGGCAAGGAGCAGCGCTGGGTTTCAGAGCTGGGTCTACTGGATTCTGAATTTTTAGCTTTTGTTCCTTTTCTTCCTTTCTTATTTTTTTCTTTCCTTCCAAGTTTTTCTGCAAACTGCGTAGAATAGTGGGGGCGAGAGGGCCTGTGGGCAAGGGCCCCGTAGGCGGCCTTTGCTGGAGCCCAGGTATGCGGAGGAGGCATGGGCCCTGAGGCCAGGGGGAGGCTTTCTGCTGGCAGCTCGAGTCCCAGGTTCTTGCTTCATTCTTGGCTGTCTCTTGGGCTTCCTTTTCTCCTTTGCAGGCCCCAGGCCTTGGCCTTCTTGCCTCTTCCTTCTCAGGGGTGTCCCCACCTCTTCGCTACCTGCAAGGACTTTGTGTCTCCAGCCCTCCCTTTTCTTGCCCCTACAGGGGCAACTGCATGGACTTTGCTGCCAGCCACTGTGGATAAAACTAACAAGCAAAGGGGGAAGTGACCCCTTTTCTTGTTCAGGCGATTTCCAGACCCCTGGAAGCTCCACTGGGCTTTTGCTTTGGTTCTTGCAAAAGCTTGGCCTGCCTGGCTCTCTGTGGCCCCTCCATAACCAGGAAGGGCAAGGCCAGCTGAAGTTAGCTATCACCTTCTACACTCTGGCTCACTAGCTCTCCCTCCTACTGGGCCTCCAGCCCCAGACCTCCACTCCTGCCAGATCAGCCTCTCTCTGGTCCCTGGCACACACTGTACCCGCCCTACCTGTCTTTGTCCAGGCTTGTCCTCTGAAGACTTTCCTTTTGCTTGCTCCTAGGGCCAGCATTCTAGGCGTGCATTTGGACTTAATTCTCCTTCACTAAGTCTGTCAAATACTCTCCTCCCGTTATTCACTGCCTCCTGTACCCTTGACTCTCACCCCTCTGGTTCCTGGATCTTTAGTCTCTAGGAGCCAGGACGACTGCAGCTCTATCCCAGCCCACCCTCTGTGGGCTCCAAGAGGAAGGTCACACCGAGTACCAGGAAATAAGAAGAGCTCAGCCCTTGGCCTTGGAATGCCCAGACAGTGCTCTGTGTCACCAATTCTGTGTGGTTTGGGTGATGCTGTACTATACTTATTGCATTGCTGAAAAGTCAGAAGCACTCTGAGAGGCCAGGGGAGCCCGGCATTTGCCAAGGATCACTCACTATGAGAATCTTAGTGGAGTGTGGATGGCACAGTCCTGGAAATGGAGGTGAGGCTGGGGGAAATGGACATCCATTGAGTACCTACTATGTGCCAGATTCTCACAGTCACAATTCTGAGTAGCTCTTGTGCACAGATTACAGAGGTGGAAACACGCCCACAGAAATGAAGTACTTTGCTTAGACTATGAATGCTATTCTCTCTGCTGCCCCCTGCCTCCTGCCCAGATGTTCATTTGTGCCTCTAGAGGTGCGTGGGCCCAGGTATGCAACAGATCATGCTGGTTTGCTCTTGGCTGTATGAACATGTAAGAATCACATGGGCAGAAGGGCCTAGTAGACTACAGTCCACAGGGTCACAGAGTTGGACACGACTGAAGCAACTTAGCACGTACCAAATGTGTAAAGTCAGTGAGTTCCCAGGTTAACTGTTCCACTCAGCTGAACACAGGGTTGGGCAATTTGCTGCAGAAAGCCCTGAAAAATGCTGTCAATTATTTGGCCAAAAGGCAGAGCACTCAGATGGAAAGAGAGCTGCTGGGGAGTCAAGATCACCGAGTTGCGTCCTGTCCCTGCCACTGACAAGCTGGTGAACTTGAGGCTGGTGGTCTAGAGCTCGTGTCTTCCCTGGCAAGATGAGAACGTGGACAAGGTGACCCCAACGGAAAGCAGAACGCATTTTCTGAGCACTGGCTCCTTTAAAACAGATAGACTCTAGGAAATGGAATCAGGGAACCAGAGGTAGGACTTGTATTTAGGGGAAAAATGACTTAGAGTGAGAACAGTTGAGACCTTTGAGAAGCTCTAGTCCAATCTCCTTAATTCACAGATGAGACACCAAGGCCCAGAAAGAGGGAGGTTCTTGCTCAAGGTCACACGAGAGCAGGAGCAAGGGGAGCTTCTCCTCTAGGGAGAGGCCTGCTGGGATGCCAGCAAAGAATGGGGACCGCAATCCCAGTTGCTAGGAGGCAAAGCTGACGGGTGAGGAAACATGGCGATAGGCTGTTTGGGGGCCTGTGCAGCACTAGGACCTGTTGCCTCAGGGATGAGAAAGCAGCACAGGTTAAATACAGGACGGGCTGGGCTGAGCCCCTGTCCTCGGGGGGGCCTTACCTATAGTCTGTTCCCCAGTAAAGACAACAACACACACAGGTGACTTCTACCTCTCATGAAAAACTGGTCACAGAAGAGGTAGAGCACCTTACATGGATTAGGGGCTCAGCCATCCACTTTGCTCTAAGCCTAATGTTTCCATTTGGAAGGTCATCCTGTTCACTTGTGGTTTGGGGGAAATTATCTTTCCTAGGTCAGGCCCCTGCCAGTGCATGTTTGGGAGAAACGTCTGCCTTGAGTCACTGTTGTTTTCGATCCTACTCGGGAAATGCCCAGACATACCACTGTCTTGGCCCCAGCAGGTGTGACAGCAGGTGCCACTGTCTCAGAGAGGGAGGGGGAGGGAGGCCTTGATTTCTGTGTCTGGATCATGGGTGGTGTTTGTTACTGGGAAAAATCCCACTAAGACACTCTAAGCTCAACTGGTGGAGACTTAAATTTCCCAAGTTCTAGATCGGTGACAGAAATGGAAAATCTGAACAGAAAAAAAGAGAAGACCCAAGGAACCAAGTCCCTGGGGCCGCCAAGGAGGTCCTTCCTTCAAGAAGTTCAATCTAGTGATGTCTTGAAAACAGTACTTAGAGAACACTTTTAACGTAAACGCAGCTGTTTCCAGGTATTAGTGGGGCAAGTGGAGATGTTTCATATGAGGACCAGGCCTTGATCACTCCACACCCAGGCATAGGCCAATCTGCTCTAAGAGCAAACTGTGCTGTCTGTATTCAGCCTCTGCTGGAGACCTGTCTTGGCTTGTCATGGGTCTGTAGAGGGACCCGAGTTGTCAATAGAGAACCACCAGGGTGCCCATACCAGCAGTTAAAAAACAGACCATTTAGAGAGAGGTCTGTTAGAGATGATTTCCTCAGTGTGAAGCCAGGGTTGTGGTTAAATGGGAGAAACACGCTGAGGTGTTCAGAAGTGGTAGCCTCGCCCCCTAAATGTTTTGCCCCAAAGAATAGTGTATACATAAACAAATGTGGCAAAAAGTTAAAATATTGGTGAATTCAGATGAGGAATATCATGTTCAAGATATGTACTATTCTGGCTTTTTTTTTTTAAACAGAATTGAGAAGTTTAAGCTAAAAAGTAGGTAGTTTACTTTTTCCAGAACTTGAAATTTACAACCTGGTTGAAGCAGTAAAATATCTGGTCACTGATAGGCTAGGAGCACTTCCTGGGTTTGGACCCCTACCAAATCAATATTCCATCACTTATCAGCTTATTTCTCAAAGCTATGATTTATTCTGTACAAGGTTCCACTGTACATCACACATTCATCTACTCTTGCTTACACGGTAAACAAGTGTATACACCAGCCCTTTGGCTCAGGTTCACAGGTCTTCCCTGGAGAAGGGTGTCAGGCCAGTGAGACTCAGGGCGTCTTATTCTGCTGCCTCCTGGGAGCACGGGAGAGTTCTGCCCTCGAGGGGCACAGGCAGGGCCCGGCTGTGTGGGTGCGCAAGGGGCGCCGCGCGCAGAGCTCTGGGCCTCGGTGCTCAACAGCTTTTCTCTCTGGGACAACACAGAGTTTTGCCCGACGACTTAAGAGCAAAATCAAGCCCCTGGGGAAGAACCATACAACTGAGGCAAGATGTCCCCAGACACCCAGGCTCCAGCTCCCAGGCTGAACTGCAGACTGATGCCAAGGGGAGCTGGGGGTGGCATGGGCATCCCTGAGAAACTCGGTCCAAAGGGCCTATGTCAGGAGGCTCTGAGAATGGGGGCGGGGCAGGGAGGCTGGGGCGAAGGAGCAAGTTAAGGGGGAATAAATTAAAGGTGAGAGAAGCTCAAGGGTCAGGGGCTCGTGCTATCCTTCCAACAGCTGGGGAGCAGACCAGGGCTGGGTTAGAGGAAGCTGGCGGGAAGAACTTGATACACTATCAGAAAAAGAATTTCCTTATACCTACTCTCCTCTTCACGTCACTGCAATGTGAAATGAGCCAGGGGCTGTGGGTGTGACCCCGAGCTCCCTGGCAGCTCTGGACATGGCACTGGGGAAAAGGGAAGAGGCTGAGGGATATTTCAGGGAGGGGCAGTTACCCCCTGGTCCCCAAACACTATAAGGCACAATTCTTGGAGGCAACTAGATTCCATCCAAAACATTAAAAAAAAAAAAAACCTGTCAGATCCCAGGTCTACTGTGGCTGTGCTTGGGCCCGGCCAACTCCCACCTAGCACCACTGGGGGCTAGCACTAGAAAAGTTGTACTTGAGGAATTAAAAAAAAAAAAAAATGACCAGCACAACATCCCAGCTGTGAAGAGGTGTGAAAGAGAGCATCTCCAGTCTGAAAACTTTAGTTACGGTAATTAAAAAAAAAAAGTTGGGCTTTTAAAAATCAAAAACAGCTTTTTTCAAAGACGTCCCCTCATCTGTACCCCTGGAGTTAGCAGCCTTAAGAGGGCTCTTGGCTCATGGGTGAGCGGGGTCCCGGAAAAGATGAGCAGCGTTCCAGGCAGCGATCCTCCCAGCAGGCTCCAGAGGGCGCTGTGTTCTCAAGAGGCCGGGGCTGGGCCGAGGCCAGTGGGCCCTTGGACAAGATCTTCTCCCCACAGAGGGCTGTGGTTTATCACACACGAGAAAAGAACCACACGCTTACAAATGCAGACATGAGGAGCCAAGCGCACTGTGCTGGCTCGGTCTGCGTCCTGCCAATCTTTCCTACCAGGCGGGGCTCGGGGGCACCGGGCTCCCCGCTCCAAGCTCTGGCCAGGCTGCAGCAACTCCTGCTCTGCAGCTTCACTTTCCTTTATTTTCCTCTTATTTGTCAGGACTTTTTTTGCCTTTTTTTGGTCTTTTTAAAAAAACTTAGGTTGTGGGGCCACCACGGGGAAGGGAGGATGGGATGTAGCTCCTCGTTGCTACATGCGGGAGGGTGGACTGGCCAACTCGTAGAAGAGCAGGTAGGCGTCGCTGGTACGCACTTGGCTGGAGGACATGGGGGAGACGCTGTGGAGAGAGCAGGACAGGTCAGCCTGGCGGCCTGGGGGGCCCGTGACACGCAGCTGGGGCAGCATGAGGGCCTGTCTCTGACCTATTGGACACCCGAGGCCATCTCCTTCTGGAGAGCCTTCTAATGGGCAGCTCCACACCTTCTGGCCCTGACCGCTCCTGGGTGAGGGACGGGTGTCTGACAGCCGGGAGCCCTGCCCGAGGCCCGTCTCACCTGGAGTCGTTGAAAGTGTGCCACTCGCCTGTCACCGGACTTCGGCAGTAGGCTGTGTAATGGCCGCCCATGGTGGTTCCGGAGTGATTGGACACAGCGTACAGGTTGTAAACAGCGTGGTCTGAAGAGGAAGCCTGAGGTGTCAAGTCCCAAGGTATCCCTTGCACCCTCCCCTTCTGCCCTTCTCAGTCCTGCGTCTCCTCCCGATTTCCACCTCTCTCTCCTCAGCAGCTTCCCGCCACCTTGAAGCCTCCCATCTGCAGCTCAGACACCCGTGCCTTGGTTCTGTGCTTCCAGCTCAGAAATGCTTACTGGTGTTTTCTGAGGCAAATTCCCTCAAGTCCAGGTCTCTTAGTGGGAAATTCACAAATGTTGTGAGCTTGCTGGTTCGTATCCTGGATTCTGAGAACCGCTTCAGATCTGGTGTTGGTGTGAGTCAAGGGCAGAGTCAGCACAGGAGACAGAGCCCCTGAGGGTGCTACACGTCTCAGGAGGCAGAGGAGGGGAGGGCCCAGTGCGTTTTCTCGTCCTACCCTGCCGGCCCTCACCTGGCCCCCAGTGCTCAGTCACTCTCTAACGTCAGCCCCTGCCCCGACCATCTCAAGGATACGGAGCACCAAGATCTTTGGGAACCTCTGGATGGAGAACTTCTTTATACACCGTTTTCTGGCTCGGCAGCGACAGCACGTCTGAAAGACATAACAGGACAGAGCTGGGAAGGACTCATGGGTGAGGCCAACAGCTGAATGCAGCGATTTCTAGGCTGGTCCGCCCCCAAGAGGACTCTGGGAGATGTGCCCTCCCTGCCACAGAGGGTGATGTACCGGCTTTTCATCGCCATCAAGCACGTCTTCTTTGGTGAAGAGCCTCATGCAGTCCGTTAACGTCACCTCAGGATAACCTCGCTAGGAGAGAGAAGCGAGGGGTCAGAGGTCAACAAAGTGAAAGGGTAAGAGTGAGAGTTTCAAAACTGGGGTGACAGGGGTGCCTACCTTAGCAATGGGCAGAGAGAGGTCCCAGAAGGGATCAAAGACCGTAGAACAGTAGCCACAATCAGTGCACGTCAGGGAGCTCTTCAGCTGCCCAACAAAGAGATCTGGGGAAGAGACGGACACACGACGCCTAAACACCATGTCTCCTTTCTCACTGCTCCCACCTCAGTCCTCTGGGGGCTGGGCACCGGGAAGCAGGAAGGGTGCTGGGAGAATGGGCTTCTCATGCTCTGCTCAGGCCAAGCAGTTAACAGGGAAGGCAGGCAACCCACCTCTGGCCCTCCTGCCTGCACTTACCCCCGATCCGACTGTCCTCCCGCTCTAGATACTTTCTCCACATCTGGCGCCCTTTCTCATCATCACTAGGACCCAAAGAGAGGAAGACAATTGGGTCAGAGCTCAAACCATGATAAGTGTAAAGACCTAGCCATCTAAATCCTTAATATCCAAAGTTCTTCTGAAATCATTATCCCCAAAGAAGTTCCCATAGTTCGGGTCCCAGCCCTCTCCTACTTACGGCAGATGGTCGAGGTTTTCAGGGTTGGACTTGGGCCTCGCTGTGACCCGGTTCACCTCATTGTGCAGCCCATCCAGAAGGAAGCGAAGAAACTCCTGAGCATCCTGCTGACTGAACGTGAAGAAAAGGGAGAAAGCGACACCTCTGGTCCCTCGAATCTGCTACTGCCGCCACCCACCCTGGGGAGGGACACGTCCCCAAGGCCCTTACTTATAGCCGACGAAACGCGGTGCGTATCTCTGGATCTGGGTTTTGAACTCAGAGGGGCTCACCACGTCATTGGGGGATGAGGTCCATATGGTCTGGATTAGTTTTGCAAACTCTACAGGAAGAAGAAAAGGGTAGGGGGGCGTGGAGGATAGCTGAGCCATTTTCTCTATTCTGTAGAGTCCCAACAAAAAGAAGCCAGAGGAAGAGTAGTGGGAGAGAAGCATGTAACCCTCGACTCCTACAGTAGCGTGGGAAAGCGTCCAGGGCTGGGCCCTCACCTTCCATGAGGGCCGTGTGGGCACGGCTGCTGTGGCTGAGGTCCCGCAGGTAGAGCCGCTGCAGGCAGTAGTCTCTCAGCTCCCGCGTGTTGCTCAGGCACTGCAGAATGGAGTTCATGAAGCACTGCGGGAGACCACTGGACATCAGCAGCGGAACAAAGATTCCTGGCTGGCATGTCTAGTTACCTAACACTCAGAGCCCTCTGGTACACCTGGCCTACAAATGAAGCCTCCCATAGCCTCAGGGTCCTCTTTCTGTAAGTCACAGTGTTGAAGTGAGGCAAATCCCCACTGCTGGCATGGGTGAAGTAACTGGTTATTTACTACAGAGGTGTACAAAAGAGTGTCGGGCAGCTGGACAGAGTGAGTGGGAAGTGATGGATGTCCTGGGGGAGAGGGATCCAGGAAAGTGACTGAGGTATCAGTTAAAAGGGCGACTGCCCTTTAGCAGTGCTTCCTGCTGGGGTGGGGGTGAGGCAGAGCCCAGCAACTCTGTAAAACATCAGCCAGGAAGGGCAGGTACCAACGGGCCTGGGGGTAGGGAGTGAGCTGCAGCCAGGATCATCTGGTTAGACAGTCCCAGTTGAGATGGACTGAGTCCCACCTCAGAAAAGAAGTGGGTTGGGCAGAACTCACCGTGTTCCCAAGGTTTCGAAGACCAGCCAGACCCTGGGCGCTCTTGGAATTCTGTGAGCAAAGAACAGGAGGCATATTCAGGCTGAAGGAAGAGGCCTGGCCTACGTTAGGTTCTCTCTGCAACTTTCTGCCAGTTGTAGCCACTAGCCTCAGGCCACACACATGATCCTCTCTTCAACTTTAATCTACTTACATTGTAGGAAAGCGGGGGTATGGAATGCCTGTCATTTTCAACACACGACAAAAACATTCTTCAAGATTTTGCTTTCTTTTCTTGACTTATGTGGTTTTGCTTTCTTTAACTGACATGTAATTACACCCCCCATCTTTTATGTTAATACTTTTCATTCTCTGCCATATTGGAGACTGGAGATTAGAAGCCAGAGGCTAGGAATTCATATACCTGATTCTGACAAATTTCAGGTCCCAAATCCAGGCACTCTCTCAAATGACCTACATTTGTACTCTGAGATGTCTGATATCTAAAGCAGCTGTCATAATGAGCACTTCATGGAGGTCTTGAAAAGTTCAATGACAAAACATCTAAACTGAGTTTAGATCTTCAGCTGGGGAAAATCTCCAGTCGGCCTGCCATTCTGAACTGCCAGAGACAGGTGGAATTCCTTCCAGCTGAGCTCAGCTCCCGAGGGCGGTTTAGAGCCTGGGAGAATCCTCCCTCCTGGTTCAGGTTTCAACATCCTGATCGGCCACTGGCTGGGAATCCTTCTGATGGCAGCTTGCGGCCAAGCAGAGGTCAGCACCTGGTTGAAGGTGCTACTCTAGCTCCTGTACTTCTTGTGGAGGCTGGTGAGGGGGTAGGAGAGTGAACAGGACTCTGAGCAATGTTTGTCCAGGTCTCTTGGCTAATCCTGGCCCAACCTCCAAGAAGTCAGATAACCTTCCGGCTCAAAGGGTTAAAGCATCAGCATACAGATGAGCCTGCTACCGTCTTTCTTGGGGAGGGGACCCGGGAGCAGGCAACTCTGGAGCAACACTGGCTGGGGCATGCGTGGGGCCAGCTCAACCCTGATCAGAACAGGAGCCTGAAATAACTCAGCTAAAATTACTCATGCCGTGTGCTGTCAGCAGCTCAAAGCCCATGAGGTTGTCAGCATAAGGGGGTGGGGTGGGGAGAGGCAGGCTGAAGGAGGGCTTTTCTCAGGAATTGCCCTGCTGATCCCCTACAACTGAGACGATCCCTCCTTGCCAGTTATCAGGTCTAACACTCACAGGTAGGGAGGGAAATACCTAAACCAGCAGGCAGACCTGCTGTCCACCTGCAGCTAGAAAGAAAAGCCTATTGGCAGCAGGTGGGGTACAAGCATCACTGAAGATCAGCAGTGTATGGTCCCAGACACGACATTTAAATCTTACCTTTATGACAATCTAAACCCTGATGTTCCAGTCAGTGGGCCACAACAGAGATAATTCCCTGGACAAAGACCTTATCAGCCTTTTGAAGTAGACCTGGGGCTCAAGAGAAACACTGAAGTCTGTGTTGCTCATTTGGAACTAAACATTAAAGCCTGCCCACACCTGCATACCTGCTCTTCCTCCCCTAGAATACCCACTCGAACACCTCTTTCCAGCAGTGCTTTATCAGTTCTACTCCGCACCCCTCCCCCACCTGCCTCAGACAACATGTGTCTAAACAGGCCACAGAAACAAAGCATTCTACCGCTGATGACTGTCACTGTCCACCAAAGTGGGCCCTCGACTGAGATAGCAGTCACACAGCACCAGTGGGGGTGCGGCAATGGGAGGCTGAAGGAATCTTTCTAATGAAGCATTCCTGTGGTGTTGACACTTCCCTCTCTGAACCAGCGGAGGCAGGTCAGGAAGAACAGGTCACGATCGGGGTTACTATCCTTAAGAATCTAACCCTATATCTGGCCTGGCTGGTGGAGAGATGTGGGAGGCTCCTTTAAGGCTTCTTCGCCAGGACTCTCTTAATTCTGGGGGTGGGGGCTGTGCCTTTGTCTAAAATTTCCCGAGCTTGAAAGTGCCTGCCAATTTCCAAGCATTTTGTGTAGAAGGCGGATGGGTATCAGGAGTCAGGGGGTGGGAGTGGAGGGGAGAGCAGGGCTGTTCTCTGCCCAGCCAGATATTCTTCTGCCATGAATAGGAAATCAGGAGCTCCAGGGAAAGTCAGCACTTTCCATTCCAGAGGGGAACAAAATGTCCCAGGAGTGACCTTTCTTACGGGGAAAACAATCCTACCTCAGGGCTGACAGGGAGAGGCCCAAACTGGAGAAGCTGGGAGAGACCCTGCACGCCAGCCTCTCAGCAGGAGAAGGAAATGACTCCAGCTGGGCTGCTGGAGCTCAAGTGCAAAGAGCTGAGAAAAGTTCGGGGCAAAAACTTCCTTAAAATTAGCCATCAGAAGACCTAATTCGACTCAGGAGCAGCCATTGTTCTAGAAGGCAGGTGCCACCTCCATGGCTAGTAAACAGACAGCATTCACCACCCACTGAAGGAGCAAGAGCCCTGCCGCTATGTGAGCATGGAGGAAACATCTGGGAACACGGGCCACAGAAGAAAGGCTGATGGAGGTTTGTGTCTTCACACTTGAGACCCCAGGAAAGGGCTTTTCCGGCTTACTTCACCTGTGCCATGAGGGTCAGCCATGAGTCCTGGCTGCAGCCAAGGAGCCTGGTGTGGCCCTGGCACGGGGCAGTGCACGCACTGCCAACACGGGAGCTTGTGCTGTTACATAAGATCTGTCAAGCTCTGGCCCCTTCTCCCTTCCCCGAGGGGGCAGTGCCCAGCTTTTAGCCCCAGCATCACTCTGGGGCAGCTACATCATTGAAGGGATCCAGTGCCCACCTAGCTGAACTGGGGAGGGGAGGGGAGGGATGTTGACCTCTTTCCCTGTCTGCAACTCCTTTGCCCTTCGCGGGGTCAAAGGACCCCTGCAGCCCACCCTCTGGGAGAGGGCGTTAAGCGATGAGTGACGGGGAGGCGGTCCCTTTCTCACCAGCCTTTCTAGCTGGCTTTTAGCCTTGGAGGAGTCACGCCCGCAGAGTCCAGCGAGCTGCCCGTTCTCTCACACCCCGAGAACTAGTCAAGGTTACGCTTTTCTGCACCTGTCCTGATAGGTGCCAGGAATTACGAGCCCAAGAGCCACCTGGTGCTGGGGTCAAGGAGAGGGAGGGGGCAGGGGGGCTCGGGGGACACGGGGTGGGGGGCAGGGACCTCAGCAAGGGGGAGGGGGCCGCGAGTAAGCGTGAGATCACCTGGGGAAGGGGCATTCCGTGTCGGGAGACCCTGGGAAAGGAGGGGTGGGGGTTGGGAAGAATCTGTGCCCCGGACGGGTGGGCACGCGGTGGAAGGGGGCGGGAGGGGGGCACCCCGGGAAGGAAGCAGAACCCCAGCCCTCGGCGTGAGGGTCCCGGAAAAGGGCCCCGCGTACCTTGGCTTTGTTGAGCAGAAGCCCCACGAAGGTGGAGAGCAGCAGGGAAGGGGAGAGAGGGGAGCGCGGTCGCAGCTCCTTGGCGAGGGCGGGAAAGGGGGCGGCGGGGGGCTCCTCGGGCAGGGTCACGGTGTACGAGGTGCGCATGCTGGGGGGCGGGCGGCGGGCTCGGCCCCTCGCCTAACGTTGGCCAATAGGGCGCGGGGGAGTACCGCGAGGTCCCACGGCCAGGACGCCCAGGCCGCCACAGCCCGCCGTCTGCGGCGCCCGGCTGTAACCGCTCCGGCGGGCCGACCGCGCGCTCCCGCACCTCAACCTCCCCGGCACGAGCCGCCAACCGCCCCGGCGCCGGCTCTCGCGCTCCTGCCGACTGGGGGCCCCGCCGGCGCCTCGGGCCGCGCGACGTCATCGTAGGGGCGGGGCTAGGATCCGGCCCCGCCCCGCTCGGCCCCGCCCTCGGGCCCCGGCACGCGGACCGGAGTGAGGCCGCGCCCCCGCGCCTCCCGCCGTTCCACCCCCGGCCCGGCTGCCCGCAGCCCCCCGGGACCAGGCGGGCCAGCCCGCGACCGAGACCTGCAGTCCCCGAGGGCGGGCCGGACCCGGGCGGGCAGGACTGGAGCGCGGAGCCCGGGAACCACCTCCAGTTGGGACTCGGGAGAAACTGCCTTTGAGGCCCAAAGAGGACACGTCTCCAAGGCCGAGTGTCAGCGGGTGAGCTTCCCCGAAGGCAGCGAAAGATTTCTAACTTTTGGAGGGCTGCAGATCATTTTGAGAACCTGATGGAAGCCCTGTACTCACTTTTTTCAGGAAAAAATTCACCCACGCACAAACTTTTGCACAACATTCTGGGCGTGTGGGTGGGAGGCGACGACTCAGGCCTTCTTGGAGCCCAATATCCACCCAATCCGTGGTAAGAGGGCCCGAGGTAGATTTCCACGGCTTCCGGACGAAATCCCCTCCTCCTTCCAGTCCTAGTTTGGCCCACTATCAGGAAAGGCAATGCCTAGATTTTTAACATGATGACATCAGGTCACTGTCCCTTTTGGCCCCAGGAAGAAGCATTTTTTCTGACCTCATCTACCCAATTACCCAACTCCATCTCTCTGAGAATCTCAGATTTTGATTTGTTTTTGGGAGGTGGGAAGAAAGTCACAGCTCGTGGGGAAACTGGTGCTCCCTTGGTGTGTGGAGGGGAGTGTCCTTCTCTGACCCTAAGGGCAGCAGTGCTCGGAGATCAGAGGTCTCTGGGTTTTATTCCTGCTGCTCCACCCGTCTCACCTATCAGGGACCCACACAGAATCTGCCTGGAGAAAGTATCTTGTTTGGAGCTTGAGGGCTATTTTTAGCCAGTATTTTTAGCATTTAAAAATACTCTGAGAGGCAGCAGTGTGTGCTGTTACTCATCTGTGGCCTCCTTCTGTTCCTCTTGGCCTGCTCATCCCCACATGTACACGCGCACTGCACACACAACCGCAGCCACATGGGGAATGTGTCCAAGACACACGTATGGCTGTACCCCAGGCCTCCCACAGAACAGCACTTTTGTGCTGTTGAGAGAGGAGCACAGACAGTCGCCCCCGTGTTCCCGCCTCAGTGGTGGGAGGAGTGGGCAGGAGGCAGTGGCTTCAGGGCATCCTTC